CAAAATGATGAAACAAAGGGTTACGAAATGTCAGTCACCTAGGATCCAAGTCTAAAAGGAGAAGGAGGCAATAAAAAATTGAAATCTAGACATACAGCTATTGCTTTTATGAATGACACTACATGGATAGCAAGATCTAAAGAAGACATAAAAAAGATTCTAGAAGAAGCAAGAATCTTTTATAGAGTCAACGACTTTTAAATTGATAGTAACAAATCAGTACTAGTTACTATTAATAACCCTAATCACTATCTAGAAGAAGTCAAAGCAGGAATCAATAGTGAAACAGTTAGAGAGCTAGATAGAACTGAATATATAAGATTCTTGAGGATCTGAACTGGTAATCAAAAGACAGCGGTTGAACTAAAAGAGCAAATACTCAGAGAGATCAATACAATTACACGAGTCCTAAAGAATAAAAGATTAACTGACAAACAAACACTCTATATTTTAAACAGGGTATTGATATCAAGGATAGAGTTTCGCATGCAATATAGTATGCTATCCTGGAAAATGTGCAACACTTTAACCATGATATATAGAAAGCTCCTTAAAAACAAGAGTAACTTGTGCGATCTATACTCAACAGCATAGTACACCATCCAAAAATCTATAACTTAAAAAGTATTTGAATACTACAAAAGAAAAGCCAAATAATAGGACTATGCAACAGACTAAATGATCTAGAACCAGCAGGACTTACAACAATAATCAGAATCAAACAAGTACAAGTTAAATACTGGAAACCATGCAATCTGCTTACCTGTGAATCATTAGAGCATATGCCAAGTAGAGGTAACTTTGCACTCCAAGTAATGAAGTTGGCCAAAAATTTAGGGATAAGATTTCAAAACTGAAAATGGCAAGACATTTTCGAATGAAATAAATGTAACTGCCCAATCAAAGAGTACCTAGTATCAGATGAATATACGAAAGCTATACTATCACTTAAAAACAATAAGCTGATATATATGGATCAGCTGATAACCTATGAAACTAAAGAACTAAAAAAATGGCGAATGATCCAATTAATCTAGAAAACCAGTAAGGGCCCATTCCAAAGTGGTATCTAGTGATAGAAAGGAGTATACAAGAAAAAGATCCAGGACAGTTCACAAAATTCTGGAAAGAAGACTGGTCAAAATGGGATCCAATAATTATAAAAATAAATTCAGATTGCAATAAAAGACAAATACTTTAGGTAGTAACAAGTAATAAATGTCAAAAAATAATATGGGAAAAGCTGAGATTGAAAGACACTAAACAAGTAGTACAAATAGAACACTTCAAGTGTACTGGGTCCCCATATGCTCAGGAGACCAGCCTGATGAAATGTTTAGGATATGCAGAAGGTAAAAACATGAAGAATCAATGCATAATAGAGACAAAAAGAAATAGAATATATGAAGTCTTCTATCTAAATACAAGAAAATCCACGAGAAGAGCCCAGCAGTTAAATATTCTAAGTTCCAAATAGTTTTGAAAAAAACAATAGAAAAAACAATCCAAGATAATTACAAATCCAATCTGAATAGTAAAGTAAGTCAAATAGATATAGAGGATTGGGAAGAACAAATTATTAGAGATAATATAAAAGAAAAAGCATATCAAGATCATCTAATTGAAATACTCCAACAGAATCAATAGTCCAAAGAAACATTTGTGTTTTACTCTAATAGATCTCTTATCAACCATGGATATGAAAAAATAAAGATAGGAGCAGCATGGGTACAAGTAGAAAAAGAGGGTAAAGAAAGTAAGTTTCAAATGGAAGTAGGTGACTAGCTATCATCCACTAGAGCTGAGCTAGTAGCAATAGTCACAATATTATTAGTTGTTTCAATAAACAACAAGATCAAGATTTTTACAGACAGCCAAGCTTGTATTGTCAAGTGAAAAATAATAGAGAAAGAGGATTCTAGAAGAACTCACAAAAGATGATTAAAGGAAAAGAACTGGTTCTTGTGGGCAAGAATATTGGATATTGTTAAAAAAAAAAAATTGGATCCGAAACTGATCAAGGTCAAAGCACACTCTAATAACCCTTACAATGAAGAAGCAGATACTCTAGCAAAGAAAGCTTTAATGCTTCCTGTGATTGAATGGAAGAATCTTATTTTATCTAAAATTATTACTGAAATCAAATGGCATGAAATGACTTTAGATAATTCTATAAGGATAGTTTATTAAAATATAAATAACAAAGTTACAACTCATCAATGGATTAAACAAAACAGAATTTTGAACAAAGGGAATCAACAGATTTGAGATCAATATGACTATATATGAGATTTGATATGGGAAAGGATGAAGAATGATCACACTTGAAACACCTTCTTTAAAGATTCTCAAGAAAGAAGTTTTCTTATCAAACTAATTAATGAAGAATTACCAATGCTTCCCAAATTGGCCACAAGAAGACCAGACCTATATAAACAACTAGAGTATATAGCATGTAAACAGCAAGCAGAAACAATAGAATACCTACTAGAATGTCCAGCATATAAAATCCAATGGCAGGAAATTTGGAACAAAGAAGCTGAAGGCATTCTAAAAGACTTTCAAAAACTTTTGCATAAGAGAAGAAAAGAGATGAAAGAGAAAGAAATAAGGTTTCTAGTTGAATATAGAGTAGAATTAGGAGAATTGGACAAATGCATAGCCAGACTTATAGAAGAGACTGCAGAAACAGGTTAAAATACACTAAACTTCTGTATGGGACTAATACGAAGTGATCCAATATTGAAAATGTTAAACCTAAGATGTTACCAAAAAAGAATAGGTAAAGAAGCTCGAAAGTGGATAGTGAAGATACAGAAGAAGATTTGCAATCAATTTTGAAAAAAGATCTGGAATGAAAGGTGCTCAAGAATAATCGAGTGGGAACAAGTGCAAGGGATCCATAGAGAAGATAAAATAAGAAGGTCAACCAGTCCATTAAATCAGAACAACAAGATCATGACTATGAAAAGGTCTGTACCGGAAGAAGAAAATTTGAGGATGAAGGTCTGAAACAAACCCTTCTAGAAGGAGTAATGTATGAAATAAGATGGTTAGGGTTTTAACTTCTGTCAGAACTCATAAGAAGGATCTGCAATAGTGATCTGCAGACAATGAAATTAGTAGTTGGAAGGGTTTTCACCTGAGCTACTAATGGAGCAATAAATCACTTCCGAAGTTGTACTTAGAGTGGTAATAACCAAGATGAGTGAGCTAATTAGAAATTTAGCTTTAGTGATTCATTTTACATGTATAGTATACTAATGTTTAATAAAGCACATATAATTAGCCTGATAGAGGGTAAAAAAAAAAATAAATAAATAAACATAAAATATTTTAATTTTAGATTAAGTTTTATAAAGTTTAAATTTAAATTTAATTAAATATATATAAAACCATTATAATTATGAAATTTAAAAAAAAATTTTTTTAATTAAAATAAAATTCGATTTAAATTATAAAAGATTAAATATTACTATGGATATCTTATATACTTTAATTTTAAAGTATTAAAAATATTATTATAATTAAGGATAAATATGTAAAAAATTTTTATCTCTTGATCTATAAAATTCTTCTTTCACATTATTATAAATATCTTTTATAAATAAAAAGAATGTTATTAAAATTATCACTCTATTTTATTGCTCATCAATTCCTAGCAATACAAGAAAGAGGTGCGTATGTATACAGTATACAGTATACAGTGTATAGGCATAATTTTTACATTACTAAAGTTAGGTTGCAACTGATGTAGAAGTGAACTAGTATAATAATCATAATAAAAAGGCTTTGTATAATTTACTGTATTTTGCATAATTGATAAAAGTTGTTAAAGAATGGATTTGAATTTTTTATTTCTCGAGTAACCATTAATATGCTGTATAATTGCAAACCAAATGATTGAAAAAAATTTTTTTTTTTAATTTACAGTGAAAGAAAGGAAACAATAAGAAATCATGTAAAGTAATAAAGTAATATTTTTAATTGTATCACTTTGTTTTTTTATTGGGAAAGAGTCTAAAATTGACGCATCAGATACACGAAAATCATTCACAAATGGTCATGAAGGAAGGAAGGAGGTCGAGTTCCACCATTAAAATGATTCTACATGAAATCAATTGATGAATAGATGAATTTACGACACAAAGAATCAAAGATGATGTGATTCGGGGATTTCTTTTATTAATGAAGTTGAATTATCAACCACACGCATCTATAAACATTAGTGGCAATGATCTGGACTTACGTAATAATATTTGGCGTGTTATTTCTCTTTTAACTTATTTCGTGAAAATTTACACTTTAAATTACAAGGCCGAGTCAAGGTAATTGGGTTGTGAACCATTTTGAACTTTATGCCATCAAACCATCTCATTTAAATATTGTTGTTGAATGTAAGGATGATGGGAAAGAAATCGACTAATTCCACTGAAGTCAAGGCGGCGAAGAAAAAGGTAGTTCCGTCGTCGAGTTGGCTCTTTGACTCTAAGGAGATTACGATTAGCATTAGTCCCATCGCCGGCGTGACATTACTGGTGCTTCTCATATCCATTTTCATGGTTCATGACAGGTATAAGGAGTATGCTATGTGTCGAGTATTTAATGATTTCCAGGACAAGGCCTCGTGGATAACTGTCGCCGATCATGCGAATTCGGAAAGCTATCTTCACTTGGATAATGGCGCGTTTGTTTATCGGCACATATACATGGATGAGTTTAAGCAAGAATTCGATGTGTATCCGATTAACTTTCCAGTGGAGTTTTTTTTTTTTTTTTTCTCGGAATCGTGTACAGTAATTGCTTCAACACATTCATCATTTTTGCCATCAATTGTCGCAGATAATTGACCCATCCATCTCCGAGTATCTTTTAAAGTATAATCTCGCTTTTCGTTTAAGAAATGACACCGAGCTCGACCAATACGTGGTCGAACGTGTCTTTCTAGGCACAGCTTACTATGCCCATTTTGTCGAAGAACAGAAATACCAGGTTGGAAATGGGACTTTTGTAGATGATGGTCGATTATACGTTCGCTGGGTGAACGATATAGTGAGGTATGGTATGTTTGCAGGACAAGAGATAAAGGGAGGAGACGTATTAGGGATTTACAGTGGTGAGCATATAGTTTTTGCGCGCATGCAAACCTGGTGAACGGGGAATCTTAATATATCCTCTTGACGTGTTTCATTTTCCACAACGATCAGGAGAGATAATGGCTCAAAGCAACGATTTGGAATATGGTGAGAGTCAAACTTATCATTTTACTTTAATTGTTTGACTACTCATGCAACATATTTTCTTTTTCTTTTTCTTTTACATTAGCGTGGGTGTTCAACTACTTGGTTGATCTTTTAGATGACAATGGGGAAAAGGTGATGGCTTGTATTGACGCTAAATATTACGGAAATTATCTACGTTTCGCTAATCATCGTGATGGTAAGTTCACTTCGTGCTTCCTTGTTTTGGGTTTTTCATTGATCAATAATTTACATGCTCGTGTTCATTAATACAAGTTTATAATAATTGCGATCAACTTTACGTTATTTACGACGATATATGGTATGTGCTATATATCGCTCAGAAGGACATCATGGTAATGGACCTTCCACATGTTAATATGCCTTTCGATTTCAATTAACATTCCGATATTAACTTCATTATCTTCTTTCAGCCTCATGAGCAAATATTCGTTAATTACGGCCAAGCATATTGGGAGGATAGAAAAAAATACGAGCTCTAAGGGTAATGCAATCTTTCACCCAATGCATATGATGGAGGTGCGTTGCTCTTTGTCCCTTTAATATCTTAGAAATAATAAATCCCACACAAACGATTAACAAATAACGAATGCCTCATACTCTATGGTTCCTCAATTATATAACATGAAGCGAAAAAAAAAAAAAAAAAAAAAAAAAAAAAAAAAAAGTGAAATCTGATACCTCATAGGGGACGCATTTTTGTAAATTTCGAATTAAAAATAAGTTCTCGCCGAGAATCGAACTCGGATCGCAGGATTCAAAGTCCTGAGTGATAACCATTACACCACGAAACCATCCATGGTAATTTCATTCTCTCTTTGACCAAATAATATCACGTGACTCAACAGGAGAGAAACGTTCATGTCGCATTGGAAAATGATATCATAAAGTCGTACGCACGATACAATACGCAAGTATGCAGGGTCATGAATACAATTAATTTCTTTAAGTGAATGCACAGGGAGTAGTTCAATGGATTACGTAATTTGTCCCCGCATATCCCTGTTTTACATAAACTCCGAAAGTGTCGAATAAATTTAAGCTGTCGAGTGTTTAAATGAAGCTCATCGTTTTTTTTAAGCGGACTTCCTGGTTATGTGTGACGTGTTCTCCAAGTTACATGTTAGTAACAGTATATGCGTCAGTGTGCCACGGATTGTGGGTTTGATATCGTAGCAATGGGGATGGATTAGTTGCTAGTTGAGGATAAATAATCTCGCAAAGTGTTTTCTTTGCAACTCGAAGGAACTTGCTCATATGCAGCATTACACACACAAGCATTCTCGACCGGAAAGTTAAAGAATGCGTATTCATGACGACAATCGACACTGCATTAATCAAATCCTAATTGGAGAAGTAGCTTTTTTTAAAGGTGCATGATCACGTGAGATTGACGTTTTACTCGTTACTTGTTCAAAATCGTTTTGCTGCCGTAATTTGACAATAATTGACGCCTGAAATGCGGGCCCAACATTAATCATTGCATTGAAACGATTTTTCGAAAATTTAAACCTATTCAGGTTAATTCGATAAATTATATTGTTTCACATCTGTCTTAAATGCAAACCAAAAATTGAGTCTAACTTCTTTTTGGAACATGAGTACAATTCGAAAATACTATTGGTTATTGAACGTTGATAGGACGTTAGAGAGCTCGACTTTCATCATAAAATACAGTAACATGCAGCAAAATTTCGCTGGTGAATAATGCTCGTATTGTGTTGTATGTATACAGTGTTTGCAATATCAATCTATCTCTTCAATAATCCGATTCTAGAGCTTCTCACGTAAGGGCCTGCATTATTATAATTAAGTGTCTTGCGCATTATTTCAGTGACAAAACTTCAATCTCGCGTAGTTTTCCAACGCATACACTGTAAATACACGGTAGTTGACCATTAATTCGTGCGCGTATACCCCAAGTACCTCACCACTGCAGATGATATTAGACGACATACGTATCTGTTTCAATCCAAATATAGTCGTGAATGCATTTTCTTTTAGGAAAGGGTTCGATTGGCTCCGAACCACAAAGCCGATATCGTGGGTATACCATCGTATCCAAATCGGTCATATAAGGTGAATCATAAAATCTTTTTATAATAAGTACTCTTTTTACCCAATCTGTAAAATTCTTGACTTCACATGACACCATAATAGTACGAGAATGCACGGGTGCATGATAATTTATTGATGCTGACAGTCGAGGTTGCTCCAACGTTAACACAATGAAAGCAATCAAGAAATTGCTATGTGTAATCAAAGTCATCCGATGGATCGAAATGGAAAACAAATAGCTAATAAAATGACAAAACCGACTAATTACTTATTTTTCAGCGCACCTCGTTCATTGGACTGTGGAAAATAAAATTTTGCTAAGAAAGTTCAACAATGGGTTCCATGTTCGTTTTGGCATGCACACAATGTTAAATACAAGGTTACATGAATGTTGTAGTTGTCATCGTTGCGGTGGAAATTTCGGTAGGAAAAGGAGACGCCGAATTGGATGGGTGCATAATTCTTCCTGGATCTCAGTTCCCATATAAAACGGTCGGCACCCATATTTTCACTTCAGGTCTTTTTTTCCCTCACTGTCTCGATCGTCATAAATATTCGAATTAAATTATAGCTGCGGTAGTTGATATAACGCACTGCCCAAGCTTTTTTTTTTTTTTTTTCTTGTACTCTCCTTTAGGTCATCATCAAACCGCTCATTATTTCCATAATAAAGAATCCCCTTTCCTTGGGATATTTACGAGACAGCAAGTGACATCTCATCGTTAACTAACTTAACGGAGTGTTTTCTTTTCACACCAAGTTTCTGCACATAATCAATTCTAAAATCATGTCAGAAATCACATACTCTCCAGAAGACCCTTCCCCTTACGTCCCTTACCCCGAGAATCCTTACTATAAAGCGGACATTCAGACGATATCCCTGGATAACTTATTCCAAGAATTGAATACCGATCTGAGCATAATAAGTATGATCGGTGGATTGATCGTATTAACAATAATAACGGCAATGTGGCTTTACGACAAGAAACTGGTAAATAGGGTTTCGCTGAGGTTGACGGCCATGATATCATTGGTCGATGTGTTCACGGGGGCAGTCGTGATAACGTATGCTCAGTATCCGCCCGCAGAATCGATTGTGTGCACCTTCATTGGATTTGCGATGTCTTTCTTTCCGGAAGTATACTTATTCCTGACCGTGATGATAGCATTCAATTTGCAGGTAAAAATCGAAAGTCGACAGATGCAATAGTGATAAACTAAATTAAGAATTACTACTTGACCCTAAAAAAAAAAAATAATAATAATGATTATGTGCGATACTGTAGATTGTCTTTCTTCATCGAAAAAAGGTCTCTTCGTTCTCGGATCGATGGTACGTTCCGGTGGCCTTCCTCACCGCTATCATCATAAACCTGCCGCCATTGCTATACAACCGTTTCGGCTTCGACGCCGATGGCCTTCAGTGTCTTTACCGTGATTCGAAAAGTGTGGCAACACAATGGTGGAAAGTCGCTACCTTTCTGATTCCGGTGACCCTTTCCATGGTATATTGTACCTTGGTGTTGGCGACCGTTGTGTGCAAATTAATTTTCGAACATCGGAAGTTGACCGACGCGGTGCATACCCAGAGCAGGTCAACCCTAACAGCGAAAGCTCGAAAAAAAAAGATCCTTCTGTTAAAATTGGTCAGTCGTATCTCGCTGTACGCGGCGATCCCGATGATAAATGTCAGTGGCATTGTCGTCGAGTACATCTATAATTCATTTAATATGAACGAGAAAGTGCCGTTACCTTTGACCTACTGGGCAATCGTTGGATCATGCTTGCCCGGTGAGTTCCTCTTCTCGGTTTGATTTGTTCTTCTCGCATGCTGACAGAGATGAGATACGCTTTGCTCATACACGTTCGACTGATTTGCACAGGATTCTTTAATTGCTTGGCTTTTCTATTCGATCCCGCCATACACAACGCCCTAAGAAAGGTGAAAAAAGATCTCCTGGATACTTATGGCTACGAAAAGTGTCACCTGGATTCGAGATTCACAGTTTCCCTTAATAGTCCGTTATCGCCGACCGAGGCATTTCTCCCAAACTCCCCTTCATTCGGCCCGCGCTCCCCATCACACTATTCGCCATCGTTCAATCCACATTCTCCATCACCATATTCACCATATCTCACAGCGTTTCCGTCCTCACCCACATCATTGTGCCCACCCTCGCCAACTCGATCACTGAATGTTTCAAATGGTACGGTTAGAACCGCAAAAGGCAACCACTCGACAGTCAACCTTGGAAAAGAAAGACCGATCTTGAGATGGTTGGTGCGTACATTTTTGGATAAGAGGAAATTGCCCAAATTACAAAATGGTCTTTTCACGAGTCTAGGGTCAGATCAGGGTGACGGGTACAGCTTCGCCACAGTAAATTCCGGCACCATATCCGGGCAAAGTTTTGGACACGATTACCGTAACGGCGAGACCCACGTGCACATCTATGACATGTACTCAAATTCCGCGGACAAGAGGAAGAAAAACTTTGTCAAGAGACTGTCACGTGTCCTGAATACCCCCACCAAGGATTCGTTCGACGCGTCGGACCTATTCATAACAACCACGACAGAAACTGAAACCGTTGTCACCAGTAACTCTTCGACCGGATCTCACGAATTTGAAACCAACACGTTGTCAAGCCACAACGATCGATCGCGTTTGGTTTATGAAACGGAAGGCGGTTCGTTCTTGTTTCCTCCCACGACAAGTAATACTACAATCAACATTCATTTGCACCAATATCCTCCAACCAGTCTCTTGGGACACATAGAAGCTGGAACATCCTCAACCTCCTTCTCTAGGAACAGGCTGCTTCGTCAACAACAAAGGCAACTGCAACTACAACAACAAAGGCAACAACAACACAAAAGATCCGATTCATCATCGTCCACGGCATCGAGAGATTCCGTCGATAATGAATTGTCGGCCTATTAAATTGTCGAGAGACGTTCA